TCTCTTTCTCAAAAATAAATAAATAAAACTTTTTAAAAGGCAAAATAATAATAGCATGTGGAAGCAAAATGTATGACAACTTTAACACAAAAGATAAAAGGGAAAATGGAATCATATTGTTGTCACGTTCATTTATTTTACATGAAGTGATGATTATTATTTGAAGATAGACTGTAATAAGGGTGCCTGGGTGCCTCAGTCATTAAGCATCCGACCTTGACTCCAGTCATGATCTAGTGGTTCGTGAGTTCAAGCCTGCGTCGGGCTCTGTGCCGACAGATCAGAGCCTGGAACCTATTTAAGGTTCTGTGTCTTCCTCTCTCTCTGCCCCTCCCCTGTTCATGCTCTGTCTCATTCAAAAATAAATAAACATTAAAAATTTCTTTTAAAAATGAAGACAGACTGTAATAAGTTAAAATATACACTATAGTGGCACCTGGGTGGCTCGGTCGATTGAGCCTCCAACTTCGGCTCAGGTCACCATCTCGCGGTTCATGGGTTCCAGCCTTGCGTTGGACTCTGTGCTGACAGCTCAGAGCCTGGAGCCTGTCTTTGGATTCTGTGTCTCCCTGTCTCTCTGACCCTCCCCTGCTCATGCTGTCTCTCTCTCTCTCAAAAATAAATAAAACATTAAAAAAATAAATAAAATGTATACTATAAACTCTAGAGCACCTACTGAAAAATATAGAGGCAGAGCTAAAAAGGCAATAGAGAAGATAAAATGAAATCATTAAAAACAATACTCCAAACACTAATATTCCAAAGAATGTAAGAAAAGAGAAAAAGTGGGAAAATGGAGAAAAGAACAAATGGAGCAAATAGAAAACAAATAGCAAGATAGTAGGTTTTAAATTCAACCATATGAGCAATTATATTAAATCTAAATGACCTGAACACCCCAATGGAAAGACAAATATTGTCAGATTCAATTAAAAGAATAAAGGCAACCAACTATATGATTTCTACAGGAAACCTACTTTAACTATAAAGAAACAAGGGGTGCCTGTGAGACTCAGTCAGTTAAGCATCCAACTTTTTTTTAAAGTTTTTTTTTTTAATGTTTTTATTTTATTTCTGGGAGAGGGAGAGACAGCATGAGCAGGGGAGGTCAGAGAGAGAGGGAGATACAATCTGAAGGAGGCTCCAGGCTCTGAGCTGTCAGCACAAAGCCCAACGCGGGGCTCAAACCCACGAACCGCGAGATCATGACCCGAGCCGAAGTCGGTCTCTTAACCAACTGAGCCACCCAGGCGCTCCAAGCATCCAACTTTTGATCTCTGCTCAGGTTATGATCTCACTGTTCTTGAGATGGAGCCCCATATTGTGCTCTGCACTGACAATGTGGAGACTGCTTGGGATTCTCCCTCTCCTCTCTCTTTGCCCCTCCCCTGAGCTCTCTCTCAAAATAAATAAAGCATTAAAAAATGAATATAAAGAAACAGATGAAAGACAGATTATTAACTATAGAGAACAAACTGATGGTTAGCAGAGGGGAGATGGGTGGGGGCTGGGAGCAATAGGTGATGGGGATTAAGGAAGGCACTTGTGATTAGCTCAGGATCTTGTATGCAAGTGTTGAATCACTGAATTGTACACCTGAAACTAATATTGCAATGTATGTTAATAACTAACTGGAATTAAAAAAATTTTTGAGAGACAGGGAGAAACAGAGCATGACCAGGGGAGGGGCAGAGAGAGGGAGACACAGAATCTGAAGCAGGCTCCAGGCTCTGAGCTGTCAGCACAAAGCCCGATGCAGGGCTTGAACTCATGGACCATGAGATCGTGACCTGAGCTGAAATCGGACACTTAACTGACTGAGCCACCCAGGCGCCCCTGGAGTTTTAATAAACACTCAAAAAAACCCAGCTGAGTTAAACAATGGAATGATGTGGAAATTATATCACACAGACATGAATCACAAAATTTTATGGGTTTTATTTATGTAAAATACAGAAAGATGTTTTGAGCTCCGGAAATTGTTGGTAAGTAACATTTTAAAAGTGCCATATTGATCTGTAAGCATTAACCTTTCTTTAGAAAGAAAGATAATTACAACAGCACCATAGAATAGAACTGTATCAGCCCCAAAGTGAAACACGTATGTAATTCTAAGTTTTGTAACAGCCACACCAAAAAGAGTAAAAAAAAAAAAATGTTGGATACATGTCCTTATATATTTGTCAAAACCCATAGAATGTACAACACCAAGAATGAACCCTAATGTAATGGACTTTGGGTGATGGTAATGTGCCACTCAGGTGCAGGATGTTGATAGTCAAAGAGTATGTTGGGGTGGGGTATATGGAAAATCTCTGTACCCTCTGCTCAATTTTGCTGTGAACTGAAAACTGTTCTAAAAAATAAAGCCTATTAAAAAAAAACAAGTAAAAAGAAAGAGGTGAAATTAATTGTAATAATATTTTACATTCTTAATTTCATACTAAATCTTTGAATCTGGGTTTAGTGCATTTCACTTTGGACTTGCTCTATCTCAAGTACTCAAGAGCCACATGTGGCTAGTGCCTACCATATTAGACAGTGTGATGTTAGACTTTTGACCCTTCTCTCCTGGGGAGGAGATGGGGAGTAAGGCAGGAAGTAAATCCAGCCAGTCAGTTATGTGACCCAGGTTGAAGATTGTCCAAATCTCTAGTTACGGTTCTAGAGTGTTTAACATCATTGGCTGTCAAGCTCTGTGTTAGACAGTTAAAATATAATATTTTCTCAAGAAGTTAAAAAAAAGGAAAAAAACTGAGACTCAAAGAAGTTAAATGACTCAGCCCAAGGTCACATAGCTAGTTAATGCAAGGAACTATTAATGTGATCAACAGCTAGTTAGTGCAATTTGGACACAGGTGTGTCTTAAGCCCATGCTGGTTATACTACATTACATTGTTTCTTTCTGTCTCCTGAAAAAGCTAACTCCTCCTGGTGGTCTGATCAGAGGGAAATAGGAATAAGCTATTGGCTTCATCACAAAACAGCAAGGAAATCCCAAGATGGATGTGCTATTTGAGTGTACTGAACATGCCTGAGGCCAGTGTCAGATCACTTGCCTCAATGGGCAATCATCAATAGAGTCTCCAGATCCCTTCCGCTTTATGGGATCCCCCCGTAGGAGGGTTAACGAGCCAGATAGTGAGCCAGAAAATGCTCAGCCAAGAAGGGCTCCAATGTCCCTATTTCTTGACTTCTCCCAGGATATAATGGCCCATCAGCCATCTTTTGGTGTGGGAGGACCTCAGCTTTGCTGCCATATCTCATAGGAATTACCTGGAAATAAAATCATCTCTGATTCTATAGCTAAAAGATCTCCAGGTCAAGCATTCTTTTTGTGCATGAGACTCCAGGAATCACCTCTGTGAGTCAACCGTGGTACGTCCAACCACTCTTGTTACTGGGAGACTTAGGATCTTTGAATGGCAACCGACCAGTCCTTTATCGTTTTCTTCCTTCTTCAGCCTCTCCTTCAGTGCCAATGCTTTCTGATGGGGTGAGCGGATGGTCTTTCCTTTAGGAATTGTTATGGGTTGAACTATGTCTCCCTGCCTCCCCTCAAATTTGGATGTTGAAGTCCTAACCCCCAGTACCTCAGAATGTGATCTTATTTAGACATAGGGATTATTGCAGATGTTATCAGTTAAGATGAGGTCATACTGGAGTGGGGTGGGCCCCTAAATCAATATGACTGCTTTCCTTATAAAAAGGATAAATTTGGACACAGACACACACACACACGAGGAAAATTCCATGTGAAAACGAAGGCAGAGATGAAGGTGATGTGTCTCTTAGCCTAGGAGTGCCAAAGACTGCCAGTAACACAGCAGAAGCTAGGAGAGAGGCATGAGTCAGATTCTCCCTCCGAGCTCCCAAAAGGAACCAACTCTGCCAACACTTTGATCTCAGACTTCTAGCCTCAAGAACTCTGAGACGATAAATTTCTGTTGCTTAAGCCACCCGGTTTGTAGTACTCTGTTATGGCAGCCTCGGACTCTTATACAGGGGCCCAATGGTCTGATCTGCGTGGCTTATAGCAATCAGTCTACCTATTGAATTATCTTAGGAGTGGTATCTATTACCTGAATGACCCCATTTTCCCACATGGAAACCTTCTTACAGGCCCCTCTGTTACATTTTCTGAGGTGCACAGAACTAAGGAGATCAAGTGTCCCATTTTACCTGGGACTAAGGAGGTTCCTGGGATATGAGACTCAGTTTTAAAATCAGGACAGTCCCAAGCAAAGCAAGATGTGTTGCTCACCTTATATAGAGCCCACTTCCTGCTCAGGTCCTTCCAGGGTACAGCTGGGCCCAGAGCAACCATTTTAAAAAATGTTTTTTAATGTTATTTTTGAGAGAAAGAGAAAGAGCATGAGCAGGGGAGGGGCAGAGAGAGAGGGAGACACAGAATCCGAAGCAGCTCCAGGCTCTGAGCTGTCAGCACAGAGCCCTATGCGGGGCTCGAACCTACAGACCATGAGATCACCTGAGCTGAAGTTGGACGCTCAACTGACTGAGCCAACCAGGCACCCCCAGAGCAACCATTTGCGTTCCCTCAGCTGAGCGGGTTACCACAGGAACTGGGGAATTGTGTGCAGAGGAGCTAGGTGTTGTGACAGAGCAGTGAAAGCATCTCAGAGGACTAGAAGTATAGGTAAGAGGTTCTGAAAGGATGGTGGCCGAGGTGCAGGGAAAGTGTGGTGATGAAGCTGGAAAAGATAATTGGATGTGATTGCTAAGAACCTCTGACACCATGTTAAATAACTGCACGTCATTCTATCCTGTAAGAAAGAGGCAACCTCTCAGAGTTTGAAGCCAGAGATTGTCATCACAGCAAATGCTTTAGAAAGAATATCACGATTTATTTATATTTTCCCTTTGTAAACTTGGAATAGATATAAAGGGACCTAAAGCACATATAAACTAACTTCAATATATAGATTTTGTTTGGAACTAGAAAAACTGTAAAAGGAAATGAGAAGACAATAGGGGAAATGTAAATAATTACTGGATATTTGATAATATTAAGGAATTTTACACTCATACCTGTGGTGATGCGCTTTTTTTTTTTTTTTTTTTAAGGGAAGGGAGAACAAAAGGTATTAATTCAGGAGCAGAGATGGGGGAAAAGTGAGGGAGAGAAAGAGAGAGACAAGAGGCACTTTGATAACCAGTGGGCCCTCTCAAACATTCCTCACAATAGCTGTGGGGTAAGGGGTAGAGTGGGGATCCACCTCCAAATTATATCTTAAACGAAATCTAAACTCAACCTGACATTCAAGGCTCTCCATATCTAGATACACAAGCAGTCCAACCCTCAATCTTCCCTAATAGGAATAGGTACTTAAACTGTACATCAAAGACATAGAGGCTACATGTGCTACTTGAGCTTTGGTAGCGAATCTGTCCCTCAGTCCCCTGCCAGGGGACCATGTCTTGGGCAGTGCCCCTCAGATTTTAAGGGAGGTCAGGTTGACCCAGTTGTCTTCTTTGGGTGTGAGGCAGTGTCTCGGCAGAAAGGATATTAAGAAGCCCATTGAGGGTAAAGAGAAGTGAAAGGGAGAGGTCCCTTTGGTTCAGCCTTGGACTTGCAAGTGTGATCTTGGGAAGGTCGGTCTCCTCTCTGAGCCTCAGTGACCCCAGCTGCAAAGTTCGGAGGTGGTAGAGGAGTTGTAAGGGCCCTTCCAGCTCTGACTACTTCTGACCCTGAACGGGCGGAACGCTGGCTGCGGGACTCCGCAGCAGAAGCCGTCACACAGCTGGGCTGTAACAAAGAGCCGGGGTCTCGGGAATGTTCCCGCCCCCAGCAGGTTTTGGAAACTCCCAGAGGCCGAGGGGCGGGGCCTGAGAGCGCCGCAGCCAATCACTAAAGGTGCAGGGCGCCGGGGCGGGGCCTCCGCGAGCAGCGGCGGCGGCCAGGCTGGGTCCGAGCATCCCGCGGCTCCGGACCCCCTGGCCCGGACATGGCGGTTGTCCCGGCTTCCCCCCGAGGCGCGCTGCTGCTTCTCCTGTCCGTGGCGCGGGTCGCGGAGGTGGCAGGGGGCCTGGCCCCGGGCAGTGTGGGTGAGTAACTGCTGGAGCAACGGTTCGGGGCGGTCCAGGGCGGCAGCCTCAGCGCTCCAAGATGGCGCGGGGCAGGGGGCGGGGGTGCGCGCGACTCCCAGACCTGGACCAAGTGCGGTGACCCAGGGTCCGGAGGTTCCAGCAGGAGGAAGGGGTCGCCCAGACGGGACGAGCGAGGAGCCCTCTCCACTCTCGCTCTGTCCGCCCTGGACATCTGCTGCCCTGGGAACGGTGACCCGGGTTCGAGGCCTTGCTCTGTCACCCACCGGACAGGGGCCGCCGTCTCGGCCCTCAAACCCACACTGGGCTCAGGTCTCTGTCAGAAAAGGGTGAAATCCCTTCGCCCAGGAGGGTGGCGAGGGTTGGATGGGATTTCCGAGGTGCAGGAGCCTTACTGCCGCCCTGGCCGGTTGTAACCTGACCCTCGGTTCAGTAAGGCAGACCTCGGGCGGCGAGCACTGATGGGCCCCACAGCCTGCCAGGTTCAAGTCTCTGAAGAGAATCGGCCTGCTAAATCCAATTCTGCTAAGTCCAGTTCTGCTGCCACCCGCGGTGGGTGCGCTGTGTGTCCAAGGCAGCGCTGGGATCTGGCGGGAGATAGATTAAAAATCAGTAAACTCTGCTTTCGGGCGGCCAGCAGGCTTAAGGAGACTTGTTATTCTTGCTCTTGAGGAATTAAACCAAGAATGGATAAGAAATTGTTCAGCGCTTGTAGAGTATCTCCCACGTGCCGGGCTTTCGGAGTTGATGCCAACTCCTGCCCTCTTCGAGCTCTCTGGCTAGGAGGTGGGGTACAGCAGGACACAAGCCGCTGGAGTTCAAGGCCAGTGTGTCCAGAGGAGATGGAAGACTGTGGGTGCACAGAGGGAGAGAGATGACATCCGTCTAGGGTGGGAGGAAAATCGAGAGATCCTTCAGCTGCTCAGACCTTAAAAGATGGCTGGGATTTATAGGTGCAGAGTGGTGGGGACATGCATTCCCTACAGGGAGAGACATGTGGAAAGAGCAAAATCAATCGCAACAAGGTTTTAAGGCAGTTTACAGTTAAAAGGTTTTTTTTTTTTTTTTTTTTTTTTTTTGCTTTTTGTAGGTGGGAGGGAATTGTGTCAGGAGCCTGGGATTAGATAGTTAATTGTAATGAGGTTCCAAATTTAGCTGTCAATTAGAACTCAAGCGAGAGAGAGAATAGGAATATGCTGTGTATTCTTGGCTAAATCAGCTTACCTTTCTGGGCCCCATTTTTTTCTCATAAAGTCAATCTAAAGCACTTCAAAGTTATGGCCCATAGAAAATTAGTTGTCCATTCTCATCCCACAATCAGTTGGTTCTGTGGGAAATATTAGAGTGGAGTAATTAAGAATATCTGAACAAGTTACTTAGCTTTAATCTTTTTGTGTGTTAATAGCCACAGTTATTATGTACAGTCCCTTTAGGGTTTTATTGTGAGAATTAATTGAAGTAATACATGCATAGAATTTAGAATAGCATATAATAAGCACTGAAATGTTACCTATTAAATATGTTTGGGAAACACTGCACATAGTACCCTTCTCTTATAAATGCACAAAACATGTTAGATTCACAATAAAGGGTCCAAGGATTCTATAATAAAGAAACTTGTTTGCTGAGGGAATGGGAAAAAGACTGCTATTGGTATGGAGTTTCTTTTAACAGTAATGAGAATGTTCTTGAAATTAAGTAGTAGTGATGGTTGCACAATTCCATGAATATACTAAAAACAACTGAACTGTACACTTTGTTTTTAAGTTTATTTATTTATTTTGAGAGAGACAGAGATAGCGTAAGCTGAGAGGGGCAGAGAGAGAGGGAGAGAGAGAATCTGAAGCAGGTTCCGGACTGCCAACTGTGGAATCTGACATGGAGCTCGAACCCACGAAACGTGAGATCATGCCCTGAGTGGAAACCAAGAGACTTAACCGACTGAGCCACTCAGGCGCCTTAAATTGTACACTTTAAAAGGGTGAGTTTAGGGGAGCCTGGCTGGCTTAGCTGGTACCGCATGTGACTCTTGATCTCTGGTTGTAAGTTCAAGCCCCATGTTGGGTGTAGAGATTACTTAAAAATAATATCTTTTAAAAAATAATAATATCTTTAAAAATAAATAAAAATCAAAAGGTGAGTTTAGTGGTCATGATTGTTAATGTAGAAACTGAGGCATGTTAAAAAATTTAAGAGTTTATTTGAGCGAAAATTGATTTGAATCCAGTAGCACCAAAAGGGAAGTGACAAGAGCTGAGGGAAGGATTTTCATAGAGGAGATGTGGAAGCAAAGCAAGGAAGTTATTTGATTGGCTACAGCTTAAGCAGCTGCCTTATCGGGGAAAGCCTAGGTGGCTGTTTATAATTGGGTGTCCTTAGGTTTTGATTTCTTAATCTCGAGGTATTATAAGCTTAGGTTTTAATTTGCATACGTAGGCTACTGAGGCATTAAAACCACCTCAGTCTAGTGGCCTTGTTTAGTTAATTTAACATGATTTATATTTCAATAATTATAGAAAAAGAGACTCGTTTGCTTATAGAGCTCTTTTTTTGTTCATGAGACCTAAAGGACGCTTTAGAAAATGCTGAGCTAGATAATTTCTAAAGACCCTTTCAGCTTTAAAAGTCCATGACAGCATAGAGTTTGCATTGTTTGATAAAAAGAAAAATTTCCACTTGGAGCTAAAAGTGAGATTTGTCCCTTGTGCTAAATTCTAGGAAGGATATATTGCCTGGTCCTTACATAGAGGACATTAAATAATACAATGGACAAAAGCTTCCACTGTGGGCTTGAAGAAAGTGTGGAAAATGTTCTTCAATCCTAAATAAAAACTGAGAACAAACTATTAAATTATATTTCAGTGAATGCCTGGCTTTTATTACTGATCAGTCTTCTTTTTCCTCTCCAAGGCTGGGTACCTGTCCATGTATCCTCTGGTATAAGGCTTTACAAGTCTAATCTGTTCATAGAGATTTTTATTGCTATACCTGGGGGTGGAGGTGAAGGAATGATATTACTTATTCAGTGTTATTATCTCTTGTGAAGTGTGGCCATGCTACATGGGAGTAGTGCCCCTCTTCCTATCCCACTGTGCTTTCCAGTCCCAGCCCTGCACGCCACTCTCCTCCCCCTGCCCATTTCTTTTTTCTTTTTTTTCTTTTTTTAATGTTGTATTTATTTCTGAGAGAGAGAGAGAGAGCATGAGCAGGGGAGGGCCAGAGAGAGAGAGAGGGAGGTATAGAATCTGAAACAGGCTCCAGGCTCTGAGCTAGTTGTCAGCATAGAGCCCGATGCGGGGCTCGAACCCAAAACCATGATATCATGACCTGAGCAGAAGTCAGACGCTTAACCAACTGAGCCACCCAGGCGCTCCTCCCCCTGCCCATTTCTAATGTTCTCTTCAGAAGGATGGGATGAGACCCTATGCTCAGGTCTCAGGATCTGTGTGTCACGGCACCTAATAGTAGCTCTGTTTCTATTTAAGATGTTTTGTAATGGTATAAAAGAGGGAAAGATGTAACATTAAGGGCTAAATTTCAATAAGCTGACATTTAAGGAATTATGTAATAGCTTAGAGTCCTGAAAAAGAATGTGATGAATTTTAAATTAGGAAAAAGGAAACACTATTTGGTGGAAAGTAATAAAAAGCAGATTCTCTTCACAAAGACATATCTTGGCCCACCTTGTGGAAAGAACCAGGATTGGTGATAGACCAGATATGACAGTTTATTCTGGTATGCTGAAAAAGTTCCTGTCTCATAGCCATAGATTGAAGCAGTCTCAAGAACCATACTTTTCACCAAAAGTGCTCCTCTTCTAGACAAAAAGTGGAACAGTGTCAAGGAGGTGGTTTTTATATATTTTAAATGCAGTTTTTTAAAAAAACAAAGCATACTGCAGAAATTTGTTCATTTGAAAAATACTGAGTGTTTGCTATATGTCAGATGCTGTTCTGGATATAAGGTTGCTGCTCTCAAGGAGTTTGCATTCTACCAGAGGAGAGATAGACAGACGGATAAATAAAATGACTTTTGATAGTGATAAGTATGCTATGAGGAAACCAGCTGATAACAGAATTGTGTGAGTAGAGGGGGAGTTGTTTACATAGTGACAGAAGAAAGGCCTCTTTGAAAAGGTAAAGTTGAGAAGCAAAGTCTGAAGACTAAAGCTCTTAAGAAAGACAGAGATAGAGACCAGAAAGTGCAGAGGCACCAAGGCAAGAAGGAGCCTATGTGGTTGCAGCATAGTGGGCAGGGACAGGCTAGAGCTAACGGTGCTGAGCCTTGCAAAAAAGCCGCATACGGATTATGGATTTTATTGTGCAGAAAGAAACTAGTGGAGCATTATGTAAGAGATATAAGCTTTGGTTTATATTTTAGATCACTTTGGCTGCTGAATGAAACACAAAAAACCCCGTGATTATAGTGGGGTTGGAGTGAAAGCAGGTCAACTAGAAGACCTCTCAGGAGATAATGGTGACTTAGAGTGAAGGGGAGATAATGGTGGAGATAGAAGAGGAGAGGTTCAAGATATATTGCTGATGGATTGGATGTGGGAAGTGAGGGAAGGAGAAATTAAAGATTATTTGTAGATTTTTACGTGGAGCAATTTTGTAAAACATGATGCCATTTACCAAAGTCGGGAAGATGGGGAGGAGCGGATTAGAGGAGAGCTGGCAGGTGAGCCAAGAGCATCAAAAGTTCTGTTTTTGTGTAGGTTTAAGGTGGATATTGGGAATAACTGCCCTAGGTCCATTGCTTGTTCAGCTAAATTTCATACCTGTCAGTAATCCGTTAAGCAAGTATTTGTTAAGCGGTTAATAGTGCCAGACACTGTGATAGGCATCAGATAAAAAGTGGGAAGCAAAACCACACATGGTCTCTGCTTTCATGGAGTTTATTGTTTAGTAGGAAATTCAGACATTAAATATCACCAATATATGCATATCTACATTGCTAACATTATGTAGTTATATTAGTATGTATCTATTTATATTCTA